ATGGACTAGACAATGAGGAGGAGGAGGAAAAGGCACCTCGGCTCATGCTGAGCATCCTGGAGAACCTGGAGAGTAGGGAGGACATGGTGGCATTTTTTAACTCAGCTGTAGTCAGTGCGAGGAGAAGCAGGCATGGCCATGTGGGCAGCTGAAGGAGCAAAGGGTGTGCTGCCAGTGCCTGGCTCACCTGGTGGCCTTGGCCTAGAAGAAGCCAGAAGCAGCAGCCCTAGCCCCAGGGACCAGAGGCGATTCTGTGTGTGGGAAGACTCACTGGGCCCTGCAGGGAGCCATGGAGAAGCTGCAGAGCCACTTTATGGAGCTCATCCAAGAGAAGATGGACCTGAAGGAGCAGGCAGAGAAACTGGAATGTTGCTGTATCCAGCTGTCTAGAGAGACAGACACCATCAGTGAGGGGGAGGCCAGAGCACGGCAGGGGGAGCTGCAGGGCGGTCAGAGGGACCCAGCATCTGAACCCTGTCTTCCCGCAAGAAAGTACATCACCCTGTACCAGAGCCAGAGGCCAGTGCTGAAGTTGTGGCCCCAGAAGAAGTACATTCGCAGGCTGGCCCAGGACAATGAGGAGATGAAGGTGAAGTTGCTGGAGCTGCTGGAGCTGGCGTCGTGGCTTGGGCGACCGCAACAAGTGGCATAGCAAATTCCTGGCAGCTGCCCAGAACACTGCTGATGAGTCCGCTCCAGGAGCCCCAGCTCTGGGTGATCGTTGCCAGATGAGACTCACCCACAGAGTGGAGCCTGCACAAGTAGAGGCCCAGGAGGGGTCTACCCCATGACAATCCCACTGCACAGTGGATTATACAGCTGCTTCCTGAGATGTAGAAGCCCCAGGGGTGCCCCGCCTTGGGCAGAAACCCCTGCATTCCATTTTTTGAGAAAAGAGGTGAAGATTACCATCATCTAAAAGCTGGCCACTGTCAGCAAAGCTTGGAGAAGTGAGGCCAGAGGCTCCGCCCCAACCAGTTCTGCACCAGCCCTTCCCAGTCACCCTGTTATTCTTAGAGCAGCAAGATAAGACCCCTGTGTAATGGGGGGAACAAACAAGTGCAGACCCTTTGCCACCTTGGCCAGGGCTGAGTCCTTAATTTCTGGATGATTATTGTTGTTATTTAAGAGCCAGAGGCTCATAGAGTTTATTTATTTGGAGGAGGCCTGATGGCCTCCCGAATGGCCTTACTCTCACTAAAGCAACTTTTCCTTCATGGAGGCTCCATCATCTTACTCAGAGAGGCAGCCGAGGCAGGACAATGGAGCTGACTGTAGACCAGGGGAGGGAATGGGCTGCTGGGGGTGGCTCCCCTTCCCCAATGTACATATCGTATCTGTGTAACATTTTGTATATTCCGGGAGTAGGGCCACCAGCTGTATCATACATAGAGGAGGTTGGAGCTGGCACATGGGGAGGAGGTTCTAATGATTACTTGGAGCTGGGAAACTTATTTATTGATAGCAAGGGACAGAGAAAGGAGGGAGAGATGCCCTGGTGATGCAACTTCTGTTTATTTTGCTTTATATTTTGGAATAAATGGATTTAGACATAGGAGGGAAAAAAGAAGAGGTGAATACTACATAAATATACTAACACCTGAGTAGATCTTCTTCAAAAACTATCTGTTGGAAAAGGATTTAGGTGCAATTAACACATCCTTCCTAAAGTAAGCCTCCCCTGAAGAAATGTTGCTGGCGTAATGATGAGGCTTAAAAGACGGAGAGAGAATTAAGTGCAGTGACATTTCAAAAATAAGTACCTAATTGTTACCGGGTAGCATGCTGATCCTCATAAGGCTAATGAGGCCAAATTTATTTACTGCTCTAAAGAAGATAGATTTAAGAATCTCTGTATGGCATTTCATTTAATGTGGCAAGTTTTAGTTGCATTTACATTTATTCAATCACAGTATCGTAGACAACCTTGAAAGTAAACAGACAAATGTGCTAAGAACATTCTTCCCGGGTGTGGGGTGGAAGTAGGATTTTAACTTAACTGTCTATCACTTGATATGTATCTTGCTGTCCCATATAAGCTTTGAAGGAAGTGACTGATTCTACTCTTGTGTCACATGATTTATAAGGCTATTTATTTGAACCTGTGTCTATGTCTACCTGTGGCTCAGTAAGCTATTTTATTTCACAGTAAAAATCATTAAATGAGCATGTCATATATTTTCTAATATATTTCTGTAAAATTTATTATATGTATATGGATAAAATTATAGCCAGAAAAAGTCAGTAGTGTGGGGAGAAACTGAGGAGTTGACTAACCGATCTTTAACATTGCTCAAGCAGCAGTTTAAAACTTCCAGACACCTGAATGATAATTGTTCGAAGATGCTACTTCCATGTGCCCAAGTTATAATGCTTTGGTCAATTAATTAAGAGCACTTAGAAAGTCCCTTATCATATATAAGTGAAATGTAAGTCCCTTATTATATATAAGTGAAATGTATAAGTTCAATATTCACATTAATTCTTTTGTTTGCTTTTATTTTTTAAATTTATTTATTATACTTTAAGTTCTGGGGTACATGTGCAGATCGTGCAGGTTTGTTACATATACAAACCTGTGCCATGGTGATGGTTTGCTGCATCTATCACCCCATCATCTACATTAGGTATTACTCCTAATACTATCCCTCCCCAATCCCTCCCCAGTCCCCCACCCACTACTATTCCTCCCCAGGCCCTAGTGTGTGATGCTCCCCTCCCTATGTCCACGTGTTCTCATTGTTCAGCACCCACTTATGAGTGAGAACATGTGGTGTTTGTTTTTCTGTTCTTGTGTCAGTTTGCTGAAAATGATGGTTTCCAGTTTCATCCATTTCCCTGCAAAGGACATGAACTCATCCTTCTTTATGGTTGCATAGTATTAGGTCTGAAAACTCTAGTCATCTATCACTTGTCACACATTTATTGAACACCTGCTATGTGTTAGACACTGTGTTAGGAACTGAGGAAATAAAGGACAGAGATGGACCCTACTCTCTTACATACTCAAAATGTTTAGGACAGACCAACAAAAGAAAAATGGTGGAATTTTATGTTGTGAGTCATGAAAAGGCATGTCCAGAGTGCTATGAGGTTCCAAGAAAACCATCTGACAGAGGACCCTTAGTCCAAATCTTGATGAATGAATTGGAGTTATTGGCACCTTTTACCTCCATAAGAAAAAAGAAAAAACATGTTCTGAGCTCTAGGACAGCATGGGTAAAGGCATCACTCTAATGCATTTGAAGGACTGCTGAACAGAGGGGGTTCTGTTCTGGAATGCTCCAGGAAGTGAGTGAGAAAGAGAAAGTAGAGCTTGGTAAACTCTGAAAAGGCACTTGCATTTTTTTCTTAAAATCACGTGGAGTTGCAGGATTTGACATAAATGGAGATTTTAAGTGATCTGATTTATAGGGATCATCTGGCCGCCACTGTAGAATGGATCAAGGGGAACAATACTAGAGGCAGAGATAGCGGTGCCAGAAAGGAGAGAATGGACATGAGAAAATTTTAGGAAGAAGCATCAGAATTAGCATCTCCTTCCTAAAGTAAGCCTCCCCTGGTTGGATGAGGGCTGAGGGAGAGTGCGCAGTGTAGGACCACTATGCAGCGTAGATGAGGATGTTCATACTCAGAAACAGGAGAAGGAGCACAGTTTGGCTCAAGGGAAATGGAGAACGATGATGAATTCAGGTTTGGTGCAGTGGATATGCTAAGTGAAGGAAACAATGGGCAGTTGCTTACACATCGACTGCTCAAACAGTGATATGAGGTGGAAGTAGAGATTTGGTAGCACTAACCTACATGGTAATCTCTGAAACTAAATGTGAGTGAGATTTCCCAGGAAGCAAGTATGAAGAGAAAAGAGAAGAGAGCTAAATCCTGGGGAATGCTGCCTTTTAAATGACTAGCCCAAGAATCCAAGAAGAGCATTGAAAAGTAGGAAGTGAAGAAATAAACTAAGAGTGGCATTACAGATTCTTTGAAAAGAAAAAGCTTCAAGGAAAAAAATGTCCAAAAAAAATTTTAATGCTTCAAAGATTTTATTCATCTCTTCATTTCTTTATTCATTCACTTAATAAATACTTATTGGGTGCTTAGTGTATTTCAGGCACTAGCTAAATATAGTTGCTAAACAAAATCAAACCTGTCCTCAGATAGATTACCATTTAATGGAGTAGACTAATTTTAAATAAATGAACCAAGAAATATATGTGTCATTTTAAATTAGGATGAGTGCCATAACAGGATGCTAAGTGCCATAAAGGATGCCCTGGGTGTGATCATTAGAAAATTGTTAACAATGAGTTCGTGTCCTTTGTAGGGACATGGATGAACCTGGAGAACATCATTCTCAGCAAACTGACACAAGAACAGAAAATGAAATACTGCATGTTCTCACTCATAGACAGGTGTTGAACAATGAGAACACATGGACACAGGGAGGGGAGAACTACACACTGGGGTCTGTTAGGGGGAATTGGGGAGGGACAGCAGGTTGTGGGGAGTTGGGGAGAGATAGCATGGGGAGAAATGCCAGATATAGGTGAAGGGGAGGAAGGCAGCAAATCACACTGCCACGTGTGTACCTATGCAACTATCTTGCATGTTCTTCACATGTACCCCAAAACCTAAAATGCAATAAAAAAAAAAGAAAATCATTGATGGCTTTGCACTGTTAGCCTTGCTGAAATGAGAGAAGCAGGAAGAAACCAAATTGCCACCAAATTGTCATGAGTTAAGAATAAATATGAGGGAAGGATATAGATTATGGCAGGTAGGCAACTCTCTGGAGAAGCTTGACTTTGGCAAACAGTAGGGCAATAAGAAGAAAACTAAAGCCAAATATTTTTTGTTTTAAAACATGAAATATGGAGAGTATTTATTGGCTAAGATTGGAAGAAACCAGCAGAGAGGAATACTTATAAATATAAATTTTAAAGTGAGAAAAAAAATTGATGAACTTGGCTAAAATTCATTAAAATACAAATATGTTTCAGGTGGATTCAAATGAGCTAAGGAAACACTACAGGAGTTCTACAAAATTTCAGGTAGGTGACTCACAAACAATTTCAAAATTGCTCAAGTAATCTATTACCATTTTGACTTTAAGTCCCATCTATAGATTTCTACAAATAAAGTTTATATTTGTGAAGTTTTATTAGACAAAGGTAAGCCTGAAGTTTTGCCTCTCAATAATTACTTGATATAGTTCCTTGTATGTGCAAGTGGGTGAAATGGGTAATTCAGCATATAAAATTAAGCAGACAAAAGTAAGTTAGTGTCCACATTTAAATCTAATATTCATATCAATAAATATGGGTTGTATACTTTGTCTTGTCTACAAAATTTTAGCCCCCAATTCATGTAGCATGATGTTTATAAGGTTTGTAAAATTATTTCTACTCCTGTGTCTTTCTTGTTCTCATATATTCAAACAAAAATTATTACTAGAAGAGAGTCAATTATTTGGATAACATGGAATCTTCCTTTCCTAAAACATATGTTTTATTGCCCATAAAACATACGTTTTATGTTTTCAAAGTACTTCCTCTCTAACTCTGAAAAATAGCGAACTCTAGCCTCTCACTTTAAACACACTTCTTTAGTGGCCTCAAAGTTTGTTTAAAAATACAAATCTGGATTTAGGTCTGAAACCATCCCTGTTGGAAATCTACAATGATTAATAACCCTTTCTATTTGTTTTTTTTTTTTAATCTCCAACTAATTCTTTTATTAAAAATTACCACATAAGCATATTCATAAAAGATCTCTATACTGTTTTGATGAATTCTACAAGATGATGAATACTCTTTGTAATGCCATAAAGCTTATTCCAAACTCTTAATTTCCTGAGTTTGAATAAGGCCTAAATTAATTTATATATTTAAGTTGTGTTAGTGTGATGACATTTTGGTCAATGACATACCACACATATGGTGATGGTCCCATAAGATTGTAAGGGAGCTGAAAAATTCCTATTGCCTAGTGACATCATAGCCATGAAACATTATAGCACAATTGGTTATTCACCTGTTTGCAGATGATGTTGGTGTAAACAAACCCACTAGGCTGCCAGTCATATAAAGGTATAGTACATACAAATATGTATGGTACATAATATTGGGGATAATGACAATAAACAACTATGTTGCTAGCTTATGTATTTATACTATACTCTTTATTGTTATTTTAGGATGTACTACTATATTTTTTTAAGTTAATTGTATAACAGCCTCAGGCAAGTCTTTCAGGAGGTATTACAGAAGAAGGCATTGGTATTATAGGAGATGACAGCTCCACCCTTGTTTGGAGCCTGAAGACCTTCCGGTGGGGCAAGATGTGGATGTGGAAGACAGTGATATTGGTGATCCTGACCCTGTTTAGGCCTAGGCTAATATGTGTGCTTGTGTCTTAGTTTTTAACAAAAATGTTTAAAAGTCAAAATTAAAACATTTAAACATAGAAAAAAAGGCTTATATAATAAAGATATAATGAAAATACTTTTTTACAGCAGTAAAATATATGTTTTAAGATAAGTGTTACTACAAAAGAGTAAAAAAGTTTTTAAAAATTCAAAAGCTTATAAAGTAAAATAGTTATGGTGAGCTAAGGTTATTTTATTATTAAAGAGAGAATACTGTTCAATGAATTTAGTGTAGCCTAAATGTATACTGTTTATAAAGTCTACAGTAGTGTACAGTAACGCCCTAGGTCTTCACTCACTCACCACCCACTCACTGACTCACCCAGAGCAAGTTCCATGCCTGCAAACTCCATTCATAGTAAGTATTCTATACAGGTATACCATTTTTTATCTTTCATATCGTATTTTTAACTGTACCTTTGCTACATTTAAATATGTTTAGACACACAGATGTTTACCATTGTGTTACAATTGCCTACAGTATTCAGTACAGTAACATGCTATATACTAACATATAATAATATACTGCAGCATACAGATCATGCTGTACAGTAACATGTTCCTAGGCTTGTGGCCTAGAAGCCTAGCCTTGTACGTCTACACCATAGAGCCTACATGTGTAGTAGGCAATACATCTAGGTTTATGTAATATGCACTATAATATTCAATGATGAAATCACCTAATGCATTTCTCAGAATATATCCCTGTTGTTAAGTGACACATGACTGTATTTTTGTACTTGGCCATTCCACTATTAGCTTGATAACTTCTTGTGAACAAAAACAACAACTTACCCCTACTTCAACCCCAACATGCTTTGCAAATTGCCTGGCACAGAATTTAGTGTTGGTCAATACTTCTTCAATTCAATTTTCTACAGTTCAATGAGAAATAAATTATCTGTGTCTACAAAAATCTGTGCAATGTGTTAATATTAAAATGGTTAATGACTAATGACTGTCTGCATAGAGAAGTTGAGAGGGGAATTGAGCAACTGAATAGAAAGCAAGTAAAAAGATCATTATGATTTGAGCCAAAAACTATAGGTTTTAGAGTAGCATTAGACAGGTCAACAGTTCTGTGTGCCTGTTTTTTTTTATTTTAGATACATTATTTTAATTACTGTTCCGTACACCTCTTAACTTGTTACAAAGATCAATACTTATATGGTAAAATCAATGAGATTTGATGACATGATGCAATTTCTAAACCAATACTTTTAGAAAGTAATTTCTTTATAATAGCTAATCTGGTTAATTCAAGCCAGAAGTTTCATTCTTGTTCAATAGAAGCTGGCTTTGAAATTGTTAGGCAATTAATTATCTCAACTCTCTATGCTTTCGGGGTACAAGTGGTTTTTGGTTACAATGATGAATTATTTGGTGGTGAATTCTGACATTTCAGGACACCCATCACCAGAGTAGTGCACATTGTATGCAGTTTTTGTCCCACTCCCCAGCACACCCCACCTTCTGAGTATTGAAAGTCCATCGGATCACTCTGCATGCCTTTGCATACTCAGAGCTTAGCTCCCACTTCTAATTAAGAACATGCAGCGTTTGGCTTTCCATTCTTAAATATTTCACTTAGAATAATGACCTCCAATTCCAATCAAGTTGCTGCAAGACATTGATTCCTTTTCACGGCTGAGCATTATTCCATGGTGTACATATACTGCATTTTCTTTACCTACTCATTGGTCAATGGCCACTTAGGTTAGTTCCATATTTTTGCAATTATGAAATGGGCTGAAATAAACCATGTGTCTTTTTCATATAATGACTAATTTTCCTTTGGGTAGATACCCATAGTGAGATTGCTGGATCAAATGGTAGATCCACTTTTAGTTGTTTAAGAAATGTCCAAATTGTTTTCCATAAAAGTTTTACCAATTTACACTCCCACCATCAGTGTATATGTGTTCCCCTTTTACTACATCCATGCCAACATCTATTGTTTTTTGACTTCTTAATAATGGCCATTCTTTCAGGAGTAAGGTGGTATCTCATTGTGCTTTTAATTTGCATTTCCTTAATGACTATCGATGTTGGGCATTTATATAACTTCCTTTGAGAAATGTCTATTCATGGCATTTGCCTAGTTTTTGATGAAATTATTTGGTTTTTCCTTGCTGATTTGAGTTTCTTGTAGATTCTGGATACTAGTCCTTTGTCTGATGTATAGTTTGCAAATATTTTCTCCCATTCTGTAAGTTGTATTTTTATTCTGATGATTATTTCTTTTTATGCGAAGAAGGTTTTTTAATCAGATCCCATTTATTAATTTTTATTTTTATTGCATTTGCTTTTGGGCTTTTAGTCATAAATTCTTTGCGTAGGCCAATGTCCAGAAGAGTTTTTCCATGGTTATATTCTACAATTTTTATGGTTTCAGGTCTTAGATTTAAGTCTTTGAATTATCTTGAGTTAATTTCTGTATAAAGTGAGAGATAGGGATCTAGTTTCACTCTTCTACATGCGGCTTGTCAGTTTTTCCAGCACCATTTATTAAACAAGATGTCCTTTACCCCATTTATGCATTTGTATGCTTTGTTCAATAGCAGTTGGCTGTAAATATTTGACTTTATTTTGGGATCTTTATTCTGTTCCATTGGTCTATGTACCTACTTTTATACCACTACCATGCTGTTTTGCTAACTATGGACTTGAAGTATGGTAGTGTAATGCCTTTAGATTTGTTCTTTTTGCTTAAGATTGCTCTGGCTGTGAGGGCTCTTTTTTAGCTCCACATGAATTTTAGAATTGTTTCTTCTAATTCTGTGAAAGAAATGTTGGTGTTTTAATGGGAATTGCATTGAATCTGTAGATTGCTTTTGGCAGTATGGTCATTTTAACAATATTGATTCGTTCAATTCATAAGTATCAGATGTGTTTCCATTTGTTTGTGTCATCTATGATTTCTCTCAGCATTATTTTATAGTTCTCTTTGTAGAGAACTTTCACCTCCTTGGTTAAGTATATTCCTAGGGATTTGTTGTTGTTATTATTGTTGTTTTAGTGTTGTTGTAAAGGGATTGAGTTCCTGATATGCTTCTCAGCTTGGTCATTTTTGTATGTGTATTGGTGTGTAGCATTGCTACTGATTTGTGTACATTAATTTCATAACCTGAGACTGTATTGAATTTGTTTATCAAATCTAAGAGTCTTTTGGAGATATCTTTAGGGTTTTCTAGGCATATGATCATGTCATCAGTGAACAGTGATAGTCTGATTTCCTCTTTCTCGATGTGAATGCCCTTTATTTCTTTCTCTTGCTTGATTGCCCTGACTAGGACTTCCTCAACTCTCTATTTTATATGTGTGGCCTTACAATATGTTCTTAACTGCTCTTAATTGTCTTAAGATATCTTAACATTTTTAAATATACCCTATTAAGACCATGTAAAATTTAATAAAAATGAATACTTATTTTACATAAAAGAATTTCTTTTTTTTTTTTGAGACGGAGTTTTGCTCTTGTTACCCAGGCTGGAGTGCAATGGGGCAATCTCGGCTCACCGCAACCTCCGCCCCCTGGGTTCAGGCAATTCTCCTGCCTCAGCCTCCTGAGTAGCTGGAATTACAGGCACGCGCCACCTTGCCCAGCTAATTTTTTGTAATTTTTAGTTGAGACGGGGTTTCACCATGTTGACCAGGATGGTCTCGATCTGTTGACCTCGTGATCCACCTGCCTCGGCCTCCCAAAGTGCTGGGATTACAGGCTTGAGCCACCGCGCCCGGCCTACATAAAATAACTTCTTATTGTTGTTGCCATCAAGAAAGTATGAAGCACGACATTGTCATTTCATAATGACCAGGGTAACCTAAGGCCAAAATAATTTTAATACATGACAATCTTTTTAAATTTCTTAGTTGTAAAAGTACTTTCTCCCATTGGATCTGCTGAATAATTGCAAACATTATTGATTTCTTTTTTCTCCTCTTTCAGCCTGCACAGGCTCTGATAGGTACTTTTAAAGCAGTTTATTGGTAGCAAAATGGTTCAAAGTAGACAAGAGTAGAAACTATTGAAGAGCCTAAATGAACCGCAATATAATCAACCCTGAACACTGGAGAATTGGCTGAAACATAAAAATATATCACTGCAATGAAAGTGCAATGCTTTCAAATAAAATCAAGAATGGACTGGATTTTTAGTCCAAGAGCCCCATACTAAAAACACCATTAAAATGTATTTTAACATTAGCAACTATTCCCATTGCATATGTGACAGCTCAGTAAAAATCCTAGTAAATGCAGTGTCTAAAGAGAGATCAGAGGCAAGGAGGTGGAAGTGAAATACGTTGGAAGGAGTCTACAAAATAGTTTTCACAGTGCTAATATGCCTTAAAATGGCACCACACATAGTTAATTGAAAGCAGTGTTGGATCAAACAACAAATAATGCATTGTGACTGGTCAACTTTGACACACATCACTGTAAATCCATCCGTTCCCAGAAAGGCATGTAAACACAACGCATTTGTGAATGTGTTCTTTCAACAGTTGGATGTTGCATCAATAATACCATTTGATGTTTGCTACCTCTTCTTTGGGTTTAATCCAATATTTAGAGCAAATAGGATGTTAAAGGTAAGATAAATATATTTAATTGCCTTTTTCTTACAATAATAGAAATCTTGAAACAATTTAAAGTGTCTTAAATAACCAATATTCTTAATTTTTTCCAAACTCTTCTCCATCTTTCTGTCCTCATCAATGCTATGATTTTTTTAATGAATGAAGAAAAAAATGTCTACTGGTGGAAGTTGCTCCTGGTTGTGTTCATTTTACATCTCATAACAGGCATTTTTATAATCTAAAATAGGGATGCTTTTGTATTTCTGAATTTAATCATAATTACAAATGAACATTTTACACATTTTGTTTTTTTGTTCTATTTGTCCTTTTTCAGTTGCTGAATGCGTGGTATATGGGATGTAAAATTAAGAGGTTAGGTTAGAATACCCTAAATTATCTTACTCATCTTAAATTCCGTAATTCAAAAAAAAATACAAACATACTTTTACATCATATACATGCTTTCACAAGTGAGTGCCTACTTTCACATCACATTTACTTACATACTTGAATTCAACTCAAATGTTTGTCAAGTGGAAACTAGTTAAATATACTGAAAAATATTTTTATTATTTATATAATACAACACTTTTTAGCTTTTAAAGAAAGAAGAGGAAACTTTTTATGTACTGATACAAAAAAACTTCAAGACAAATTGTTAAGTTAAAAAGCTAGTTACAGAACAGTTTATAAAACAATGCTACCTTCTGCATAACAAAAAGAAAAAATATTCAATTTTTTTATATTTACATAAACACTTAAAAGGTATAAAGAGAAATTCATAAAAGTGGTTACCTGAGGTGGGAAGGGAAAGCAGGAAGGAAAATCAAAACAGATAGGGGCAAGATCAAGAATGAGACTCTTCAAAGTATATATTTCATATTTTTTGAACAATGTGAATGTATTATCTATTCAAAAAGATTATGACATAAATACTTTATAACCCATAGCTTCATTGGACACCTAAAAATAATTTGAGGAGAGTCAGAAATTGAAATTTCATGTAAATCTTTAACAATAGCAACAATACATTTCTAAAAACAACCTTCTTAAACGGATCACAAAAGATTTTTATAAATTTTAGTTAATTACCTCTTTTGCATCTTGGGAAGACAAGATAACATAACCTCTACCACCAGTGGATCTTGACAACAGCAATGACAATAGTAGTCACAGCTGTCTGTTGAATACACACAAAGGCTACATACTTTGCTAAAACTTTATATTCATTATCTCCCTGATTCCTCCCAATAACATCATTTTAGAGACAAGGAAAATAAGAATTACCGTGGTGCAGAAACCTGTCCAGACACACTGCAGATGAGTGGCAGTGTCTTCACTCTACCACATATATATCTAACTCTAAATTCTTCATTACAATCAGATTGACTGGATAGGCCTCAGGCTGAAAGGCTTTCTTTCTCTGCTCTGATATTTTCAACTTCAGAGGTTCTTTATCCCACATTTCCAAACATCTGAGACAACACTAGAGACCTCTGGTTTGACCATGGAATGTGAAAATAAATTGAGGCAGAACACAATAATGTTCCAAATAATCTAGTGGTAAGGCCATCCCTTATCAAATTTCCAGTCTCACATGGAAATTTCAGAAGGTACCTGCTTGGAGATAACCAATTTTCAGAAAAACTTAGGTTTCTATAGATTGAGGAGTTTATCTGGCATTATGATAAAAGCTTATAAAATGCCAACTCTTCATTCCCCATCTCTGTAACCCTAAAATGTCCAAAAGCCCTCTCTATCCATTAGACGTTTAATTACAGGAGATCCTGAGAGTCAGCATTAATCTTCTTGTCTAAGCTTCATAGTCCATTCATTTTACTTATTTACAAGGGTGTCATTTTAATGCACAATTCTCTAGGATAAATATTTAACATCTAGATGTCTCCAAGTTATAAATGAGACAACAAATGAAGAATATACGTTTTCTTTTTAGTGAACACTTAAGCGAAATTTAAAACCCTGCCTTTGTGCAAACTTCTATTAAGAGCACAATAAACAAATTACCACACATTAAAATTATCACAGTCTGAGTGAAGAAGTTTTTTTCCTACTTAGGAACTCTGTAAAAACAAATCCTTTGTGTATATTTCTAGTTAAATAGTCATTACTATAACATACACTATTTTTAATTCTAAATGTTACATTGTAGTCATATCTACGTTGGGCAAAATTTTGAACTAAGTAATGTCTGTGGTCTCTTCTATCTGTAAGAGTCTATGATTTGAAGCACATTAAACATATTAACTCACATATGCACACAACCCTTTTGGGGGGCATCTTTTCTTATTGACCTCATTTTACAGATGAGGAAACCAAGACATGGAAACACCGAGAGCCTTTTCCACAGTTATACAGTAGTAAGTGGCAGAGATACGACTGGCATTTGGCTCTGGATTCAATACTTTTCTGCCTGTAGAAATAAAAGAGGAAGTAGTGGGTAGGAGGGCATGTAGGCAGTTAAGGTTGAGATAGAGGTGGAAGTAAGCAGGAAAAAACCTGGAGGGAAATAGTAACCCTGCTTGTATTAGATGCATGTAAACTCATTGTATCTTTGAATAATGTCAAGAACAGCCAATGCCAATACTTATTGAACTTTAAATTTTGTTTAAACAAATATACATTTAATGCAATTCACTGAAAAAGAATGCTAGTGTTGAGCAATAAGACTTAACATCTATTTATAACTTTAATGCACTATACTTTCCCTCTTTTATTTTTTTGGAGAGTGTGATTTTAATTGTTGGGAAATAGAGTTCTACCATATGCTTTCAAAAGAAAAAGCAAAAAATGTTTTTTAAGTTTCATTTTCAACAAACATTAAAAATAAGACTATAACCAAAGGGTAGCAATAAAATAAAGCAAGAAGCTCTGGGAATCTGATACCATGCTATAAAATGTACTGCCCAAAGGAAAATACCACTAAATCAGGTCTTGGTTTTTTTAAAAGACATATGAATAAAATTATTTTCAGTAATAAATAAAATCTATTTCATATAATTTTATTTAAATAGATATATTTAAGACTAACATGCTTTTGGATTTCTTTGGCTTTTCTATTTAGTATACTTCATTTTTTGAATTTAATCATCACCTAGAGTCTAGAATGGACAAAGCATATATCTACAGGTAAAGTATAACTCAGTATACTTGGGGGAAGGGGAAAAAGCAATGGCATATCATTTTTTACAGAATTTGGCAGGAGTATACTTTGCTCTTCAAGCAAAGGGTATAATTTCAGCTTTTGGCTATATAAAATATAGGACTGTGTTCTAGAACAGATGTGGATATTTTAAGTGAAATAAAGTATGAAAATCATATCAGATTTTAGAAGAGTACTGGACTAAGGAAAATAGGACTTATTATCTGCTCTGTCAAAACAAGTACAGAAAAACATACTCTTTTACAAATTGACTTTAAACCTTTCTCATGATTATTCCCTCCTAATCTGAATTTTATTCGTTTGTTGTTCTAAACTTCACTTGCACTGAGACCTCTAGTTGCTGTTCATCGTAGCATAAAGTCTCATGAGCCTTTTTCAGTTAAAGCAGCATAGTGTATTTTATGGGACTTGAACTGAAGAGGTGACCCTTGAGGCATGTCTTTCACGGAGTTGACTCACAACATCTGTGAAAAGAGAGGAAGTTTTTTTTTTTTTTAACACTGTCAATCCCAGTCAAGACATTGCCATCAGAAAACATGCAATGGTACCATCACTTTATACTGTACTAATGAGAGTTAACAGTTCACACATCCAAAGCAAGGGGTTCACTGGGGACTTTAAGGAAAAGAAAATGTTAAAATAGGCTGTTTTCCAGAAACAACGTGAATTCTTACTTTGCATCTATTGTCTCTGACAGAGTTATTCGAACAACTGGATACCTGCTGTTTATTCTGCACGTTAATGCCTGTGTTTATTACTGGGCTTCAAACTATGAAGGAATTGGCTCTACTAGATGGGTGTATGATGGGGAAGGAAACAAGTAAGTTCTAATTTTGAAAGAAACCTTTATTGATTCTTTTTAACATTCTGCTTCACTGTATGAATTTTTAAGATCCAGTGTTTTTGAAGCTGTCATAACCCATTTAATGGATGGTAAATACTATCTGGCCATTAAAAAGAATAAGATCATGTCATTGGCATCAAAATGGACGGGACTGAAGATCATTATCTTAGTGAAATAAGCCATACGCAAAACAGTAAATATCACATGTTCTCACAGTTATGAGGGAGCTAAAAATATTGATCATGGAGACAGAGAGTGGAAAGATAAATAACAGAGACTCAGAAGAGCGAGTGATGGGGAGAGGAGCGCATAAAGAAAAGCGGATGAAAGTATCCGAACATACAGTAAGAATATATTCAATGTTTGATAGCACAGGAGGGTGACTACAGTTTCAAAACCTGTGTTGTACTTGGGTAAGGGACACCTTGAACACCCTGACTTTATCACTACACATTATATCCATGTAATGAAATTGCACAAGTACCCCATGAATTTGTCCAAATAAAAAAATTTTTAACTGAAAAATCTATTTAGTAAGTTAGTACATTTTTAAGTGAATGAGCATAGAGAAGAATAGAATAGAAAGTATCAGAGTCTGTCTGATAGATAGTAGGGAAGTGTGTGTGTGTGTGTGTGTGTGTGTGTGTGTGTGTCCTGAGTTGGCCTGTGAAATGCATTTTTTACTCTGGATTATGATTTTTAAAGTTTGAAAGCCTCTACTTTAGACAACTGAGCAGTGAGGTAACTTTTAATAACTCCAATGCTGATTGCTAGTAATGAACAATGTTAATTATTTAGAGGGCAGGTGCAGTGGCTAATTAGTTTACCAGTGAAGGGTTTTATGGGTTTATGACTCAGCTATAACCACTAACTCAATTAAACACTTAGAGAGTAACAAGGATCATAAATTAAACTTGACAATTAGGTATGCAAGTGTCCCAGAAATAAAAAAGATCATTTGAAAAATTTAGAGCAGTAGAATCAAGCAACTGGGTTATTTAATAGTGAAATTTCCTTTTGGTAAGATACAAAGACCTGGCGTAAAGTTGACTTCACTAACTTTCTGCTCCAATGAAATGACATTGAACATATAATAAGGCAACGTGCAAACTGGAAAAACAGCAGGTCCCAGCATTACTTTGAAGGTCAACTCACTGCAGCCTTGGGATGGAGAGCAATTATAGGATAGAGCAAAGAGAGGGAAAATAACTTGCAAAATTACATACTACCTAGACTGAGTTGGATGTGCATAAAGGATTATGACAACCAGAACCGATTTTAAAGAATTTGAAGTCAGAAGGATCACTGACTGGAAAACACACATACAGACATTCTATTTCCAGAAAATTTACTAAATAAATAATTCCCTTTAGAATGTGAATTATTTCCTTTGATATAAATAACTAATTTGTATAAAAATTGGCTAAGATAACCAACAGCATTAGGTGACTGTGATGATAGCTATTTTTGTCAAATTAGCAAAACAATACAGGATTACATCAGAATGCCTTCCAGAAAAAAAAAAAAATGGAGTTATTTCTCTTTTACACCTAGATGCCTCTCTGCAGATTTCTAGGGACTATATCTTGTTCCCAGTGTCAAGCTCAGTGTTAAGTATATAATAATAGGCAATATATTAGTTATACAAAGGCAGGAAGACAGAGAGGGAATAAGGAAAAAAGAAAGGAATGGTCAAATCTGCATTATAACAAGAAGAAAGAAATCTCAGCTTCAGCCCATAAGAAACTTAAAGTGTGCTAGTGTTTTAGAAACGTAGGTATCAAACCTGAAGTAGAATAGGGAATAAGTGTGAGTAACCACTAAAGAACAGAAATAAAGAGGATAACTTCTAAATTGGTAAGGGGAAACAATAAGAAAATGTGAAAAGCAAACAAATCCAAAAAAAGACAAAAATAAAGAGTGGCAGTTGTGGGGAGAAGTATAGGAAAGGCAGGACCATGGAAGACACAACATAAGATGTTGATGGTAAGGACAATTTAAAATAGATCAGTATGTTACCAGAAAGGGGTCCTGATCCAGACCCCAAGAGAGGGTTCTTGGACCTTGTGCAAGAAAGAATTTGGGACAAGTCCACGGAATAAAGTAAAAGCAAATGTATTAAGAAAGCAAAGAAATAAAAGAATAGCTACTGCATAGGCAGAGCAGTGGCATGGACTGCTCGTCTAAGAATACTTATAATTATTTCTCGATTATATGTGAAACAAGGAGTGGATTATTCATGAGTTTTCAGGGAAAGGGGTGGGCAATTCCCTAAATTGAGGGTTCTTCCCCTCTTCAGACTATATATATTCTTTTATTGCTAGAATTTCTAGACATTGCCATGGTCTTTGTAAACTGTCATGGTGCTGGTGGGAGTGTCTTTTAGCCAATGCATTATAATGAGCATATAATGAGCAGTGAAAATGACTAGAGTTCACTTTCATGACCATCTTAGTTGTGGTGAATTTGGGCCAGCTTCTTCACTGAAACCTAATTTATCACCAGGGGCTCTGTTACCTGTATCTTGTGCCAATCTCCTATTTCATCCTATGCCTTAGAATGCCTAACCTCCTGGGAAGGCAGTTTAGTCATTCACAGCCCTTATTTCACCCAGCCTTTTTCAACATGGAGTCACTCTGGTTAGAACACCTCTAACAAATATGTGCAGTAACTTAACATGAACTAAACTCACATGCTAATAGAGATTGTCAATTAACATTAGTCAAAATAAGCTTTAAAACAAAAGACATTTTAGAGAAAAAGTTCACCATATAATGGTAAAACTTTTGGTTCACAATTTTCAAAAGACAAAATTGCAACAAATTTATTTTAACCATCTTAATTGGCTTTTATTTGCAATTCTAGAATCAGGCAACACCTCAGCTGTATAAAATAGAATGAGTGTTCTGATGAGCTGAGCAAAGGAGATTGGCTTCATAGGCAGAAAAGGGCTGGAGAAAGCAGAAACAGGGAACAAAAAATGGATTGGTCATTTCCAAGTTACTTTCCTTGTAAAGGTTGAAGTAGATGGAACTTCCTTACCATGCTGGATAAAACTGGTTTGTTTGGGGATTTAGCTATCTGTCTCTGTCTGTCTCTGTCTCTCTCTCTCTCTCTCCTCTGATTTCTTGGAATGGCAGATAAACAAGTTAGTTTCAGTTTGGTGACATAGAACTTCAGCATGAATAATTCCATTTTGGTTTGGTCTGCTTGGCCTAGTGCAGGAGTTTAGTCCAAACCAATGGCCTCCTATAAATTTTCTTTACTACAATCAAGATATTCCAATTCTAAATGTGTATGTACCTAATAAAGTACTTATAATCATTCAAGAAATCATAAAGCAAAAATTGATAGAAGAAGGAGAAATTGGCCAATATATCATCAACGCGTGAGACACCAAACATAACTATTGACAGATCAACCAACCAAAAACAATAAACACATGAAAGATTTGATAACTCAATTAACAAGCTTGATTTCATGGATACAAATAGAATCTTGCACCCCAGGATCAGAAACCACCCATTTTTCTTAATAACTCACAGGAAAACTACTAAAAATGATCATTTTCTAGGCCCGAAACTAATTTCAATAAGTTCCACAGTCTTGTTATCATACAACTCACATTCTCTGACTATAAAATTTATCCCATCAGCTCTGCTCTGCCCATTTAGACTGAAGCATTCTTACTCAGAGACAAAGCTCCAACAATCCTGTTACCAACTGTCAGGGACCCAGGTTATCTTTTTAGATATTTTTAGATGGCAGTTACTCAGACACTTACATTTTCCTAACAGTTTTTGAACATTGACTTTTCCTTCTATTGCTTTATATTACCCTTTGATCTTGTAAGCCAATTTTTTGCAATTATTATCTAAAGCATTTTTTTTTAACTTAACCTTTGTGATGGTCCTGGCGACCTATAAATTGAAGGTTGTTTATTAGACATTTGGATTTGCAAATTTTGCCCTAGTTAGAATTAGGCAGCAGACTGTGGGGCATAATGGAACACTGTGAACATTTAAAATTAGTCAGGTTTATTATTACTCCACTAATTCTCATCAGAACAGCAATTTCTTCTGATTTCAATAGAAGGCATTTTTATTTATATTGAGTGAATGACAGCCTTCTTTAGACTGTAAAATTTGACAAAGAATGCAAATGTTTAGTTCAAAAGAACACAAATAAGTACTTAAGGTACTTTTGTCCACATGTATCCCAATTGTATTTATTTTCTGACATAAATTTCCTAAAATGCACAAAACTTTTTAACAAATCCATGGTCCCAATCCCTAATGTATCTTTTCCTTAAAAAAAAAAAAAAAAAAGAGAGAGAGAGAGAGAAGTAAACTAAGCTATCATGAGAATTATTGACTTTAGTTGAGATAAGGAAGGAATCATAATTACTATACCATAGTGCTAGAAAAATTTAGGTAATCCACCTTCTTAATTTTACAGTGAAGATGATGAGACTTAGGTCTCATCATGAAAATATTTATTCAGGGTGTCCTAGATACCTGAGAGCTGAGTTCAGACAATGGCAGAGAAAGAGAGAGAGAGGATATTTTGTACTACAATTCCTGGAAAGTCACCCTTGGGATATAACCAAAACACCCAGAGCAAAGAATTGGATGAATCAGAAGGAAGTGAAGAGCAGTGAGCAGCATGATGGGAAAGTTCAGAAGGAGATTTAACAGATGTGCTCACAGATCCAGTCTTCCCATATTCTCATTTCAGTAAGTCTAGGTATGCATTCATTTATCCATTTCAGTCACTCAACAAATATTAGTGAATTCCTATTGTGTGCTACTAGGTACATAAATGCCTACCTTTGTCACACTTATATTCTAACAAGACCATTCTCCCTCATAGCCAGTACTTCCAGTAATAATAAGTTTACAGAAACCAGTGACTAAGATGGATTGAGGTAGTTAAGAAGGTCCACACAGAAAGGTAAGTATAGAAGGGGTGCTTTT